TCTTGTCTAGACATTGGCGCTTCACGTACTCGTAGTACGAACTAGGGCAAAGGTTCTCAAATCTTGTCTAGACATTGTCGCTTCACGTACTCGTAGTACGAACTAGGGCAAAGGTTCTCAAATCTTGTCTAGACATTGGCGCTTCACGTACTCGTAGTACGAACTGGGGCAAAGTCTCTTACATTTCATACATTGGAAGCGTGTCTGGTCGTTATTTACTAGCAGTTCTTTATTTACTCATACTACGAACTGGATCAAATGTTTTCAAGTCTACCCACACTGGAAGCGTGTCTGTTCGTTATTTACTGTCTCTTATTAATTTACGTTTACTACGAAATGGTGCAAAGGCTGTCAAATTTTCATACACTGTAAGCGTGTCTGTTCGTTATTTAACTCGCAGTACGAACTAAAGCAAATGCTCTCAAACCTTCATAGCCAGTGTAGTCTGTTATTTCCATTTCAAAAACATATTACAACAGATAATGTACTGACATATTTTCTGGAATTGATTAAAAAATTAGGTGTTTAAACCACTTCTGTAAAAGCACTTCAAGTTTTGCGAAGATAAAACTCGATGTTTTGTTGTGAATCAGCATACCCTCACCCATGTTATAAAAAAACGTCAGTGTTTCTGTTGCAGGTTTGATACAGGCTTTGCTTTACAATAATGCGTATTGAAATAAATATAGATATAAACACATTGTAAATAATGATTTCGGTTAAGAGTGTAAAGAGAAGCTATAAGCACATTGTAAATTAGTTACTGCTGATAGTGTAAGTAGAAGCTATAAACTCACTGTAAATTGAGAAGCCTTGAAGTGGAATGCAAATGGTTCACTATGTTATGTAGTCGTTAGCTGTAGTGGGAGTAAACAGATCACGTTTGTGTCTGTCTTATGGGCAACTGTTTAAATACCTGCATCATCTACTGGTGCTTTTAAAAAAAAAAAACATGTTTTATGTGGAAGGAACTTATTATATGTGTGTGTATGTGGGGGGGATATATCCACTGACAGGGAATACTGAGTTACTACATCGGTCATAGTGCGCTCATAGTATTTGGGGACAAACACAAGTTGTTTTTTTTACCCAGACTCCGCTCAAGGGTTAACCGCGCCTAGTGTTGTGAAGGCGTGGTCTAGCGCTCGCTATACCGAAAGTCACCAGTTCGGATCCTCCTGACTCAATGCCGTAGGTCCCTTGGAGAAGCGTTGCACTCGTACAAAAATGCTTGTTCGTTTTGAAGTTATTGTCACATATAAGATACATTTTTATTCTTTCTTTATTTTTTCTTTTTCTTTTGAAGACATCCGGCCAAAATGTTATTGAGGGAGGGGGTGTACTTCTGCCAGTGCAGAGGTGCTGTGTGTTGAGTTTGTTGTGTCAAAGAGCACATGGGGCGCCCAGGATTTACTCACGCCCGTCAGTCACGGGACTACCACGTGCTAAACACTCGTCTGCTAAACGCCGTGTTGGTGTTGGCGAGGCGGTCGCCGCGCCCCGGCGTCGGAAGTGATGAGTCGTTGAGGGAAGGGGTCGTAGGAGGGGGTGTGGGTCAGGGAGTGTGGGTGGAGGGGTCAGAGTTGTTTTAGTTGGGGGTCTGAGAGGTGTGGGTTGGCGTCAGAGGTGTTGTATAGGGGTCACAGAGGTGGGGGTCAGAGGTTTGGTATAGGGGTCAGAGAGATGTAAGTGGGGGTCAGAGAGGTGTTTTATAGGGGTCAGAGAGGTGGGGGTCAGAGGTTTTGTTTAGGGGGTCAGAGGTGTGGGTGGGTCAGAGGTGTGGGTGGGTCAGAGGTGTGGGTGGGTCAGAGGTGTGAGGGGTTCAGAGGTGTGGTTGGGGTCAGAGGTGTGGGTGGGTCAGAGGTGTGAGGGGTTCAGAGGTGTGGTTGGGGTCAGAGGTGTGGGTGGGTCAGAGGTGTGGGTGGGTCAGAGGTGTGGTTTGGGTCAGAGGTGTGGGTGGGTCAGAGGTGTGGGTGGGTCAGAGGTGTGAGGGGTTCAGAGGTGTGGTTGGGGTCAGAGGTGTGGGTGGGGTCAGACGTGTTGGTGGGGTTAGAGGTGTGGGTGGGGTTAGAGGTGTGGGTGGGTCAGAGGTGTGGGTGGGTCAGAGGTGTGGGTGGGGTCAGAGGTGTGGGTGGGTCAGAGGTGTGGGTGGGTCAGAGGTGTGAGGGGTCAGAGGTGTGGGTGTGTCAGAGGTGTGGGTGTGTCAGAGGTGTGAGGGGTCAGAGGTGTGGGTGGATCAGAGGTGTGGGTGGGTCAGAGGTGTGGGTGGGTCAGAGGTGTGGGTGTGTCAGAGGTGTGAGGGGTCAGAGGTGTGGGTGGGTCAGAGGTGTGGGTGGGGTCAGAGGTGTGGGTGTGTCAGAGGTGTGAGGGGTCAGAGGTGTGGGTGGATCAGAGGTGTGGGTGGGTCAGAGGTGTGGGTGGGTCAGAGGTGTGGGTGGGTCAGAGGTGTGGGTGGGTCAGAGGTGTGGGTGGGGTTAGAGGTGTGGGTGGGTCAGAGGTGTGGGTGGGTCAGAGGTGTTGGGAGGGGGGGGGACATGGGTGAGGCGAGAGAGGTGGGTGGGGTCAGAGGTGTGGGTGGGTCAGAGGTGTGGGTGGGTCAGAGGTGTGGGTGGGTCAGAGGTGTGGGTGGGTCAGAGGTGTGAGGGGTCAGAGGTGTTGGGAGGGGGGGGACATGGGTGAGGCGAGAGAGGTGGGTGGGGTCAGACGTGTTGGTGGGTCAGATGTATGGGTGGGGTCAGGAGTGTGGATGAGGTCAGAGGTGTGAGGGGTCAGAGAGATGGATGGACCTTTATTTTGTGTCACCAGACGGAGTTGGGCGGTGACATGCGTGTGAATGTGGTTAGAGAGATATGGGCGGGTATCACATAGAAGTGGGTTGGGCTCGAGTTATGATGACAGGTTTGTCAATTGTTTCACAGGTGTGATTTAGAGTCATGGAAGTGGATTCAGTTTAAAAGCTACTCACAGAGTCGGGCTATACTAAATTATTTGTTGACGGAATTAACAAACTATAACAATTATTACACTTGTTTATCAAATAATCCTACCCAATTTTAATTCTAACCATATAGTTAAAACATCGTTTTCTTTTGAAGTTATGGGTACGGCTAATCCATTGGAAGCAAATGTTACCTGTGTACACTGTACAATGTATCTACAATTTCGAGATAAATGTTATAGTTTCAAGAGTAAGATGTAACTCCGCACACGAGATCGTTAAGCTCCCCTCCCCCACGTCTCACACCCACCCACCTCCCTCACCTGGTTCACATCCCACACCCCCATATGGTTCACACCCCTCCTCCCCCATTCACCCCAACTCCCCATGCACCCCACCTCCCCCACCTGGCTCACACCCCTTGTTTATTTATTTAAACTAGATCTCTCACCCTGGCCGTAAAGCTCTCTAGGGTGAAAAGATACATTTTTAAAAATGCCATTTTGTGTGGATTCGATTCCTCGTAATTGTCAATGTGAGCGCGTCTTCACAGATGCATACATTACATTTAAAGGACACATTTAAATGAGGGTTTTATAGCTGGAGAAAGCCACTCTTCTAGGGGAGACAACTCCAAAATCAAATAACTGCTGCCTTGTACTTTGTTCTTAGTTGGACAAAGGTTATGGAAGCAAATCCAAAAAGAAAAGCAGGCTGAAATCGGAGTCATTGGCGTCAATGGCGCATAACCAGTTGACACGTATACTTAAATGTGTTGGAGGGGATCCCTTCCAACACTAAAATTAAGAACGAAGAAGAAGAAAGGACACATGTAAATATTAATGACGTGTGTACATCCATGGACGAACAATTGTAATTTAAAAAAAAGCTTTGAGATTGTATAAAAAGAGAGACCGCGTTAAGTAAATAATCTTGGCATTGCTACGGTTGAAAAAGAGAAACAATAGAGTTGTCTTCATCTTGTCCCGTTCTTACCAAAGACAGATGGGGCAGATGAAGTAGAGTTTATCTGTTTTGATTACCTCGGCATACAATAGGATAATGTGGTCAGCACTGTATCCGGCGGCATTTGTTTAACGAAAGTCAGGTACCCATTAGAGCTGAGTGGACTCAGGGACGTCCTACAGTCACTAGTCCCATAACAGAACTCTAGACATTCGGGCTAGTAGTCAAATGTCTACCAATCGACCCCGCCGTTCCCTATAGCTGGCTTACTGACTAGTGGACAATCTAAAGAGGATACTGTTTGTGTATGTATACATGCAGCTATGGGTTCTTTACGTTGGCCCGGAAGGGGGGCGGGGGGAAGGGCGACACCCCCTGAAGAAAGAAAATTATCCTATATGAGAAAAAGATGTAAAATACTGAGGGCGTCCATAATAAGCAACGGGATCTCTAGTATACTACAACTAGGTGAGTTTTAAATTTAATCACTTTGACCATTGTTTTCACGTGTTGTTATATAAAGTTTTGGTAAGTAAAGTTCCCTTTGAGAACCTGGCGGTCCATGAGTCAAGTGAAGTAAAGCTCACCTTTTTTCTAAGGCACGGCGTATTTCCCTCAAGTGCCGTCATTTAATTACCCGCTATGCTCAGTTTTTTTTTTTTTTTAACACGAGCAAAGGCGTTTACACATCTTGTATACAGGTTAAGTTTTTTTTTTTTTTTTTATATATAAGTTGGGTCACATAAACATATTGATGTCAAGTTCAACATGTCAACGTCCGCTAAGACCCGAGCCCACACCCAGTCGTCCACCAACTGGACTTCACTCGACCACTTGCTTACTCCGCATGGATGACCCTGGTCACTAAAATGAATAAATCGAGTGAATCTACTTCAGCTACTCCCTGCGCTTCTTTATCCAGGAAGTTTAAAATGAGCGCCCGATACCCAGACGCAGTATCGATACCGTCGAGAAGATCGAGCCAGCCCGCGAAGCATGTAGCGAGGCGGGGTGAGAATGGGAAATGTGGCGACGACTGCAGAGTGGGAGGGGGTGTGCTAGTTAGTTGACGGTGGGGTCTCGGATAAATCTCACGGTGGAGCTTCGGATACAGTTGACGGTGGAGCTCTGGGTGGATTGTGGAGCTTCGGTGGATTGAAGTTTGACGGCGGAGCTTGAGATATCAGCGTAACGGATACACTTGAAAGTGGAGTTTGAGAAATTGACTGTTGAATTCCCGTTTCTATTTATAGTGAAGGTTCGGATCTAGATCTATTTGGAATCGGAGTTGTATGTTTTGAATTCATCGTGGAGTTACAATGGATCTTTATAGTTATATATAATACTCGCAATTAAACAAATAAAAAGAAAAACTAGCATTGTATATATAGCAAAAACCCTGATATAACATGCATTTTGTGTAAGATTTTTTTGGTATAGGAGTACGGTAACCAAGTAAATGTAAGTATACGTTTTCTCCGTCATTAAATTTGAATTCAAAAGGATGTTTGTGCATGTTGGTAGTAGTGATGTTACCGAGATGTACTCAGCCACAGTGTTGAGCTATCGATTCTGATGAGAAAAAAAAACAAAAACACCATGGGCTTAGTCTTAAGTATCGTCCATAAACGACGTCACACTCATTAGGGGGGGGGGGGGAATTAGGTCCTTTGTGACGATGTATTATTAATTAAATATTTGACGTTATTTAGCGTTTTTAATAAAAAAAAAAACCCTCCGTAAATTTTAGAGAGCATTCGCTGTTTGAAAAAAAAAAACAACAACATGCATAGCCATTTTGAAGGGGTTGGTCGGCAGAGGTGTGATTTCATAAATTTTTATTGTGTGTTGGAGGGGGGGGGGGGTTGGATGGGGAAATCTTTTAAAAATAAAAAAAATGCTTGACTTCGTTTTTTGATGACCACTCTGGTGTGGTAGGGGAGATAAACCTTTACAGTTGAAGTGAAATTACTGAAGTGTGAATTTAAACATCACGGACATTCGAAATCGCTTGTGAATTTTCCTACTTACAAAAAAAAAAAAAGAATCCACAATGTTACATTTTATTTTATTTAGATTATTTAAAATTATTTTAGATAAGACTTTAAGATCAATTAAATAATTAAGGGGGACGGTGGTAAAAACACATTTTGTAACAAATTATAAGATAAAAGATTTTTTTGTATCAGTATTAACTTTTGAAATATAATAACTTTGTGCTTATTATTTGTTGCCAATTCATTAATTTTAAGCTAAAATGAACATGTCTGAGGGGAAAAAATAGCATAGATCTATATTTTAAAAATATTTTAAAAATTATTTCATCATTTCAGAATAAGCCTAATGTAGCAGTAAGGTTATTTATTTATTTATTTAATTATTTTTTTTCGCCTCAGACATGTAATTTACAGCGTCAGTTGTGTGTTCGCTTTAGTATTACAGTTTTCATCATCGGCTTGTGAGAACTGATACAGATTTACAATAGTAATATTTCTTTCTTACTTGTAGCCTACTTTCATTCATATAAGATGGTTTACTTATACATAGATCTAATACAAAACGTCTAAATATTAAAAAATAATAAAAAAAGTAATAAAAAGAACCAACCTGAAAATGCAAATGTGTAATTAAATGATGATTCAAGGGATTTTTTCCCTCGGCGTGGTGGGTGAGGGGACGGGGGAACGGGGTGGAATTTGGGTTTTAAGTAGAGCTGAAATAAATTTGTGATTACAGAGAATTAAAATTATACAAATTTTAAGCAATCGGATAAGTTATGTTATTACAATGAGACACATCAAAGCAAACATTCTTCCCTTTCAAACATCTATATCTATACAGTCCTCAAACAGTTTTTTTTTTTACATTTTTTTTAAATTCAATTGTGTTAAACATTTAAATCAGTAATAATAATGTGTTTGAGTAAGGTTATTTTAAGATGTGAACTCTACAGCTTAATGTCCGCAGTTGGGTTATTATCTTGTGTGTATCGCTTTTATCCTATGAAACGACCCGAAGCCACTCTTGTCTAGGGGGTATAACTTGTTCTTTATTTTTATGTCTGAAACAAACCACATCATTGATTTGTTATTTGAGGACGGCAGAAAACTGACTTTATGACTGTAAGACAAACCTAACAGCGGTGTCCATTATCATTTTATTTCACGACAACACAGGCTGAATAGGTTTGTTCCTGGTTAGTTCCCCTTATTTTATTGTCTAAGTATAATCCGTTGCCCTATAGTGGCCTATTTAACCCCCTTTATTCTATCGGCTCTGAGTTGTAGCCCTTGTTTTATGGCAACCAAGCTAATCTTTTTGTCCTATAGTTATTCGGTTAATTCCCTTATTTGATCGTTACAACGTTGATTCCCACGTTTTATCGCCCTCCAAGTTATTTCCCTTGTTCTATCGTCCCAACGTAATTCCTCAATCCTCAAGTTAATCCCATTTTTTTTCTATCCTACCAAGTTAATTCCCTTATTCTATCATCACTAGGTAAATTCCTTTATTCTTTCTTCACTAAGTTAATTCCCTTATCTATCGTCACCAAGTTACTTCCCTTATTCTATCATCTTTAACTCCAGTCCCTTACTCTAACGTCACAAAGTTAAACAACCCCAAGTTAACTGAGGCGTAGTCTATTTATAGTTATTCCAGTCTTTGAAAAAGTGCCCCCCCCCCAAAGTAAATAAATTGGAAAGGTTTGTGGAGCTTCTTACCAGTTACTGCCCCATTAGATTTTCTATTTCGGTGTCACAAAAATTGATATAGAAAACAGTTAAATCAGTGTGAAACGCATTGAACTCGTTTATTTTCGTAACTTTGATTGTATCTATCTATATATATAATTCTCTTCTGGGATCAGTTAGAAAACAAGCTGCAAGCGCGCCTTTGCAGTCCCCTCTCTTCCTCTCTATCACTATCACTACCACCCCCACCCCACCCCACATGATCTGGTGAGCGGTGTTCACTCTGTTTACATTTTACAATCATAGAGACGGGTTTGGTGACGGCTATTAGGGGCAGATAATTGAGTTTGAAACGATTTTAAACTTAGAGGAGGTAACTAAGAGGAGGCTGCTTTCACGTGGGGGGGGGGGGGGGGGGGTTAGTGGTTTTAAGCAAATATTTTCAATGGCAGCATTGGTACTGTCGAATTCACAAATTATAAATTACTGAAAAGTAGGAAAAAAAAACAACTAAATAGCGGCGTATGATACGCAGCGGGTCGGCTCGTATAATTTAATACTTCAGCTTAAAATGAGCTTAAAATGAGCTTTTCAATTAATTTTTCTACTCCTTTTGGCGCCCCCTTAAGGTCGGTGCCCGGGGCGGCCGCCCCACTCGCCCTCCCCTAGCTACGCCACTGCAAGTTAAACAACCCCTTGCTTATTGTCTCCAAATTATTTCCCTTGTTCTTACCCTAACGTCACCAAGTTAACTCCCTTGCCCTATCGTCTCCAAATTAATTCCCTTGTTCTTTCGCCACCTTACCCTTACGTCACCAAATTAATTCCCTTAGTCTATCGTCACTATTTTAATTCTCTCACGCTTTCGTCATCCAGTTAATTCCCTTACTCTGTCGCCACCACGTTAACTCCCCTTATCAGATGCCCTGATACGATGATGAATCGTACAGTAATTGTTCAAGCGCCCGAAGAATTCACTGGCAAAAACCCCAGCAAAAACGCATGTTTTGTTTTACGACGGTGCTGCGCCGTTATCTGACGGTAGTTACCTGCTGGGAATCGATTTACGTCACAGCAAACCTATCGTCTACATTTTCTAGAAGTCGTTTTACTTGTCTTGTAATGTGGGGAACTTAGTCACCCGTTTCTGCTTTCTCGTCTCTCTCACCCTCTTTCTGCATATGCATCCTATAGGCCTAAATTATATATATATATATATATATATATATATATATATATATATATATATATATATATATATATATATATACACGAAATATAAACACAAATTAAAAACAATACGGGAATCACTGTTACGAGAATATATTTAAAACTATTGGTCAACTATTTGTCAAATTTACAAGACAGAAAAGATATTTTCAGTAACAGCTTTAAAAAAGATGTTCACTTTTTACATTTTTAATTAAGCTTGTACGTGCTTATGGGGCCCCTATTAGTTAAATACTTCCCCACTCTCCCCCTCCCCCACTTCCTCAGTCCGGCCGCACTAAGTTTTCGCCAATGTCTAAACGTGTTTTTGGACATCCGTTGAGCGCAGGAGCGCAATAAATCACTGCAAACGTTTAAATGTTTGCCAGCCTTCTTCACTAGAGTTTTGGAATTAAAAAACATATTTTTATGCAAAGTGTGGGTTAGTCACTGGAGAATACTGAATAAAGATAACAATATTAATATTTTAATGTTAGTCACTGTAGAATAAAGATAACAACATGACTATTTTAATGTTAGTCAGTGTAGAATTAAGATAACAACATGACTATTTTTATGTTAGTCATTGTATAATAAAGATAACAACTTGGATATTTTTATGTTAGTCACTCTGGAATAAAGATAACATGGATATTTTATGTTAGTCACTGTAGTATAAAGATAAAAATAGCGATTATTTTTCTGATAGCCAGTGTAGAATAAAGATAACTCAAGTGTTTTTTTTTTTGTTAGTCATTGTAGAATCGGTATTCTAATGCTTGCCACTGTAGAATAAAGATAACAACATCGGTATTTTTATGTTAGTCACACAGTCGACGCAAATATGTAAGACAAAAACGTTTAGAATTAATTTGTAACATCGGCTCTACCATAAGGTTACTAATTTTATAAATACCTTGATTCTCATCTACCACTGAGAGCTTTTAAAACCATTTAGCACTACAGTATCAATGTGTTCATAATGTGTACATGTTATATGTTTTGTGTATATTGTAACATTGATGGTAAATTCAACATGGATGTCTAGAAGTACCCGATTTAGCTTCTTCCTCAGTTCATATACATTCACTGAAGTAGAACGTACATGTGGCGTCACACAGCGGTGGTGGGGATGGGGTGTGGACCGCCCGGGTGACACTAATTTAAGGGGTGACACCTAATAAAATATCCGTAAAATGGATTTTCAAAAGTATGTTTTATCCAGTAAATTATTAAAATAATAGGACAGAGGGATGATACTTAAATGAAAAATGCAAAATCGTTAGAGGGGGATGGGGCGACACCGGGTGACACTCAATTTAGTAACTCACTGGCGTATGTTAATAGAGAGAGTAAATGTTCGTCTAATTGCTCGCAACACCCATGAATAGTTATAACAATAGTTATACCATCGCCTCTCTTAAACTCTTAAAATGTGTAAGTGGGTCACAACCGGAATAACTTCCGCTGCAAACTTTCAAACGATGAATAATTCGTCATCTGGTTTGTTCTGTTATCCACCCTCCACTCCTGTATTGTTTTTTTTTTTTTTTTTGTGTTTTTTTCGTCGTGACCATCATCAAAATAAATTAACCAAGTGCACTCATTAGCTTTGTAAGCTCGACATTGGTTGCAGTTTTTTTTTTTTTTAACTTTTCAGTGGCGGCCATGTTGTGACGGTAGGGGAGTGCTAGTGACTCCAGATCGAGGCTTGCTCCGCGGATATAGGATCTTGTTTTCTGGTGTGTGGTAAGTACTGAAACATATATAAACCATAAACATAAAGTGTAGTGTTACATCAGGGACGGTATGGTCGGATGGTAGAGCGTTCAACTGATAACTCAAAAGTCTCGAGTTCGGATCCCGGGGCTCGAGTCCATACGACGTCCCTGAGTCCACCCAGCTCTTATGGGTACCTGACTCTGGGAAAGTATAGGCGACTTGGCATAGTGCTGACCACACTGTCCCTTTATACGCCGAGGGCACTGAAACAGGTGAACTCTACTTCATCTTCTCCATGCATCGTAAGGTTCGAAAGGGTAATTTATTTTACTTTTATAGTATAGCAGTACAGTAGAGAGGTACAGTACAGTGGTACACTAGCGGTACGGTACAGGTATTCAGTATATCGGTACTATATAGTGCGAAATTACAGTGATTCAGTATAAATTTAACCCTAAACCTGTCCTGCTATATTGCATTGTCTTGTCTACTTTTTTTGGTCATCTATAGCACCAAACTGTTGCAAGCATGTACCGTGCTTATAATTTTCAAATTTCATATATAGTATGTTTTAGACACGAGTATTTGAGATATTGTATGGTTTAGATTGTGTATATTTTACACGGGAACAGGCCATTACCCCCCTCCGTCAATTACCCCGGACATTCCCCCCCGTAATTCTCCCCCCCCCCGGAGTAATTACCTCCCCTGTCAATTACACCCCGCCCAGTAGGACATCACCCCCCTGTTTATAGCTTAAGGTTCAGCTAGGCTTAGAGCTAAGGTTTGAGTTTGGTCTAGGTCTAGGTCTAGGGTTAGGGTTAGCGCTATGGTTAGGGTTAGGGCTAGGGTTAGGGCTAGGGTTAGGGTTAAGATCAGGGTTAGGCTTAAATCAATGTCTAGATTTAGGTTTGGTTTTGGGTTTATTTTAGGGTGAGGTGAATTCTTAGGTTTTTCGTTTTGACTTAAGGTTAGGATTAAGGTAATAAAATGGTATAGAGTTGGAGTCTATTTATGTGTATGTGGGTGGGGAGACCATAAACCGTCAAGATGTAGCATAGTGTTTGAGGTTGACAGTTTTAGCTGTCGGTACTAGGTGCTCACCCAGAGTTCTATAAGTGGTACTCACTGGTGTCTGTGGGACAACAGGACAGAAATGGGGAACTATCTACACCTCCAGGCAACCTTACACCTCTAACAATATACCCCCAGTCTTACACCTCTAACCATATACCCTCAGCATTACACCCCAGCCCTACACCCCCAGACTTTCACCCCTAGCCCTACACCCCCAGACTTTCACCCCTAGCCCTACACCCGCAGACTTTCACCCCTAGCCCTACACCCCCAGACTTTCACCCCTAGCCCTACACCCCATCTTACACTCTTACACTCTTAACCTTACACCCCCAGTCTTACACCTTAACCCTTAACTCTACACCCCTAAGCCTACCCCCAGCCTTACACCCCTAAGCCCCCCCCCAGCCTTACACCCCTAACCCTACACCATCAGACTCACACCCCTAACCCTACACCATCAGACTCACACCCCTAACCCTACACCATCAGACTCACACCCCTAACCCTACACCATCAGACTCACACCCCTAACCCTACACCCCCAGTCTTTAACCTCTAACCATACGTCCCCCAACCTTATACCCCTAACCCTACACCCTACACTCTCATTCTTTCACTTCTCATTCTATACTGATCTCTACTCCCAGAACACCACTCTCAATATTTAACCCTACAATCGAACACCATTACACCACCACCCCACATATCCTCCTGGTAGCTTGACATCATCCCACCTAACAAACTGACCCTCCCTGTAATCCAACTGACGTTCCAACCCCCTCCCCCCACCCACCGTTCCTTACTTACCAACTCTTAACACCTACTTCCTATGTCAACCTTGACGATCGACTCGGGTTTACCCGGAGTTGACACAGCAAGGCGGCGCTAGGCTGAAACGGTTTGCCCATCTAACTTGGGCCTTCAGTCACTGGGATATTAGTCTGGTGCTAAACTGGCGTCACGGCGGTGAGAATCGGCGTCTATTTCCGGATGGGAATGGCGCGTGCTGTGTTAATGAATGGTACCCAGTGGTCCTCAATTTGTTGGCATTGGGTCTACCAAGTACATATGACGTCACTCGGTTGTTTTTAGAATTTTGAATATTATGTGTTTTTAATTGCGATGATACCGGTTTTATTGGGGAGTTGGAACGAAAGTCTGGTTTCGTTTTAAGTTAATGTTAACGATCAACTGACTAGCAGTTTCTTGTTGAATTAGTTCGTGTGTCTTGATATTTATGCCTCCGTCTGTCGTCAATATCACCGAGTCTATGTCATGTCTTTAGGTAAATGGATTGTCCCCATAGCTAGATCTTTTCTTCATGTCTAGGTACGGTCTTCAGTATAATGTCTGTAGGTCTATTTCTTCAGATATATTAATATCTGATAGGGTTATCGGAAAGATGCGCAATGAAAAAACTGCGCAAGAGCATTTTTTGTTTTCTTAAAGCAGGCATGTATAGACACACATAAAGAATGACCAAGTACACTTAATAAGACACTTTTCTATTGTATATGAAAACAACTGTCTTAGTAATTAGTTTGTATTTGCGCAGTTTTCCTTTGCGCAGTATTCAGATTCGCAGTTTTCTGGAAACCATCCCTAAATCTAAATGTAGGTAGGTCTATATTTTAAACTCAAGTCTGGAATTAAATCTACCTCCAGGTTTAGCACTTTACTTTCTTTCTAATGAGGAAGGGAGTATGGTGTCGAAGCTGGTTAAGTAAATACAGTACTCTTTGAACCCGACGGTCCATAGGACAGGTGAAGTAGAGTTCACCTGTTTCAGTGGCATCGGCCTTTACTTTAAGTCAGGGCTGGATGGACTCATGTACGCCGATCCTGGGATCCGAACTCGGGTCTTACGAATTAGCAGTCGTACGCCCTACCACTAGACCACGCACAGCCAGATCTAACAGAAATACAACCCTACTTCTAGTAACCGCCTACCGCTCTCTGTTCATTTACCAGCTTTTTAAGAACGACCATTCCAAAAGACATAAAATATTTTTACAGCTTCACCTGTTTCACGCAACCCGGGCTACACCAGAAGACACCACATAAAACCTAACACCCCAACCTCTACACAAATCAGTTACAGAAGTACTCTCTCGGGTTACCGCCCTTGTCCCCTTGGTTATCGCCCCTTACTCACGACGGGGGTTCCCCGCTGAAAGACCATAAAGGGAACCAACCCCGCGCCTGCTAATGAGCCCCCGTCGTCCGTAAGTCGAATTCTGGCATCCTTGTTTTATAAATTACTCGTCCTAGCATCTCTATGAGCGCTGAGAAATCTCAGACTCGAAATTTGTTTTTTTTCACATTCCATAACGAACGTTGAAATGTCTTCACGGTATCCAGCCATCACTATAACGTAAAGAGGAGAGAGATTCATTTCGTTTTTTAAGATCTGGCCCCGCCCCTACCCCGGGGGGTTATAGGGGGTTGCTGACAATTCTTAGATTACGCTGGTTTTTATCTTAGTTGCTTATTTGTTTCGGTTCTTCTGACATAATTCCCATTTTTCGTGGTGCTAACGTTATGTCATCTCTCCGTGGGGGTCAAGATTCTTTATCACGGGGGGGGTCAATGTATTTTTTCCTGGGGGTTAAGGATTTTTAACATGAGGAGGGGGGGCAATGTATTTTGTCTTGGGGTTAAGAATTTTTAATCATGTGGGCAAGGTATTTTTTCCTGGGGTTCAAGTCTCTATCAGCATTGAGAAACTTGTCTGTTTTCTATGGGTTTTTTTTTTTTTTTACATCCGTGTATGACTATCAGGCAGGGAAACTTGTCAAATTTAGCAGGCGTAGGCGTCTATCGCTTACATAAACTTGTCAAACCCTGACAGGTGTGACTCTCAGGTGAGAAACTTGACACTTTAAACGTCAGCCGCTTTGAAAAAATGTGCACCCATCATAATCTCGCCCCGTGGTTAAGATTGGTTTCCGGCGTTTTTGCATGAATTAGCTCCCATTGAGGCTACTTATATACTCCCACCCATGTATGTGTGTGTTTTAGCCCCAAAACACATATTGCTGATTAAGATAGTTAATTGTATGAGGTGACTCCCCCAACTTCCACATACACACTCATACACATCTCTCTACCACCTCCCCACTCCCCCGCAAAACCCTCCCCTCCCCCACTCAACTGTGATAATAAGACCAAAACCAATAGCAAATGTAAATATATCACATATAAATATGTTACGTCTTTTCACCACACATGTGAGGACTTGCTCCCCTACCCCATATCACTCACCCTCATCTCTCACACACCCATTCCGCCACCCTAACTAGTTGAGTAAAAGCTAAAATTAGAAGCAGATGTTGATAGATCACATATATGTTAAGTCTCCCCACCGCCCTTATGCAAACTCGTCCCCTCATCCCCCACCCCCACCCCTTAACCCCTCCCTCACCCTGCATAATAAGCTCAACCCATCAGCAAATTTTTTCATATATCATATATATATCCCCCACCCCTCTTCCTCCTCCCCATCCGTCCATCTTCCCCACCCCTCATCTTCCTCCCACCCTCCCCCACCTATACCCCCAACCTCATCCCCCACCATCCTCATCCCCATCCTTCCACCCCTACCCCACTTCCACCTCCCCCGCCTCTGATCATCCCCCCCCCCCACCCTACATTATTATAAGCCCAAACCACACAACACATGTTGATAGATCACATTTGTAGACGAGCACGACTCGACTCACTTCCGCCGCTGTTGGTGATTAGGTCGTGTCAATCACTGCATGCCCTCCTTATGTCAGAGCTACTGCGGTCCTCCAGCCTTCAACGTTGTGGTGCCAGAGTTTGGTCTGGTTTCATGGATTGGGCTGGTGGGAAGTTTAATCAAGGGTGGTGTTAGGAGCAAGTGGTTGGAAGTTGGGTTGCTGTGGGAAGTTTAATCAAGGGTTGTGTTAGTTGTAAGTGGTTGGAAGTTGGGTTGCTGGTGGGAAGTTAAACAATCGTGGTATTAGGTGTAAGTGGTTGGAAGTTGGGTTGCTGTGGGACTTGGTTCTAATCCAGTTTTAAAGAAATGCAATTCTTTCTTCTTCGGATATTTCGGAGTCAGTTCTTTCTTCTTTGGATATTTCGAAGTCAGTTCTTTCTTCGTCTTTGGATGTTTCGAAGTCAGTTCTTTCTTCTTTGGATGTTTCGAAGTCAGTTCTTTCTTCTTTGGATATTTCGAAGTCAGTTCTTTCTTCTTCGGATATTTCGAAGTCAGTTCTTTCTTCGTCTTTGGATGTTTCGAAGTCAGTTCTTTCTTCTTCGGATATTTCGAAGTCAGTTCTTTCTTCTTTGAATATTTCGAAGTCAGTTCTTTCTTCATTGGATATTTCGAAGTCAGTTCTTTCTTCTTTGGATATTTCGAAGTCAGTTCTTTCTTCTTCGGATATTTCGAAGTCAGTTCTTTCTTCTTCTGATATTTCGAAGTCAGTTCTTTCTTCTTTGGATATTTCGAAGTCAGTTCTTTCTTCTTCGGATATTTCGAAGTCAGTTCTTTCTTCTTTGGATATTTCGAAGTCAGTTCTTTCTTCTTTGGATATTTCGAAGTCAGTTCTTTCTTCTTCGGATATTCCGAAGTCAGTTCTTTCTTCTTCGGATATTTCGAAGTCAGTTCTTTCTTCTTTGGATATTTCGAAGTCAGTTCTTTCATCTTCGGATATTTCGAAGTCAGTTCTTTCTTCTTCGGATATTCCGTAGTCAGTTCTTTCTTCTTCGGATATTTCGAAGTCAGTTCTTTCTTCTTCGGATATTTCGAAGTCAGTTCTTTCTTCTTTGGATATTTCGAAGTCAGTTCTTTCTTCTTCGGATATTTCGAAGTCAGTTCTTTCTTCTTTGGATGTTTCGAAGTCAGTTCTTTCTTCTTTGGATATTTCGAAGTCAGTTCTTTCTTCTTCGGATATTTCGAAGTCAGTTCTTTCTTCGTCTTTGGATGTTTCGAAGTCAGTTCTTTCTTCTTCGGATATTTCGAAGTCAGTTCTTTCTTCTTTGAATATTTCGAAGTCAGTTCTTTCTTCATTGGATATTTCGAAGTCAGTTCTTTCTTCTTTGGATATTTCGAAGTCAGTTCTTTCTTCTTCGGATATTTCGAAGTCAGTTCTTTCTTCGTCTTTGGATGTTTCGAAGTCAGTTCTTTCTTCTTTGGATCTTTCGAAGTCAGTTCTTTCTTCTTTGAATATTTCGAAGTCAGTTCTTTCTTCATTGGATATTTCGAAGTCAGTTCTTTCTTCTTTGGATATTTCGAAGTCAGTTCTTTCTTCTTCGGATATTTCGAAGTCAGTTCTTTCTTCTTCTGATATTTCGAAGTCAGTTCTTTCTTCTTTGGATATTTCGAAGTCAGTTCTTTCTTCTTCGGATATTTCGAAGTCAGTTCTTTCTTCTTTGGATATTTCGAAGTCAGTTCTTTCTTCTTTGGATATTTCGAAGTCAGTTCTTTCTTCTTCGGATATTCCGAAGTCAGTTCTTTCTTCTTCGGATATTTCGAAGTCAGTTCTTTCTTCTTTGGATATTTCGAAGTCAGTTCTTTCTTCTTCGGATATTTCGAAGTCAGTTCTTTCTTCTTCGGATATTCCGTAGTCAGTTCTTTCTTCTTCGGATATTTCGAAGTCAGTTCTTTCTTCTTCGGATATTTCGAAGTCAGTTCTTTCTTCTTTGGATATTTCGAAGTCAGTTCTTTCTTCTTCGGATATTTCGAAGTCAGTTCTTTCTTCTTCTGATATTTCGAAGTCAGTTCTTTCTTCTTTGGATATTTCGAAGTCAGTTCTTTCTTCTTCGGATATTTCGAAGTCAGTTCTTTCTTCTTTGGATATTTCGAAGTCAGTTCTTTCTTCTTTGGATATTTCGAAGTCAGTTCTTTCTTCTTTGGATATTTCGAAGTCAGTTCTTTCTTCTTCTGATATTTCGAATTCAGTTCTTTCTTCTTTGGATATTTCGAAGTCAGTTCTTTCTTCTTCGGATATTTCGAAGTCAGTTCTTTCTTCTTCGGATATTTCGAAGTCAGTTCTTTCTTCTTCGGATATTCCGAAGTCAGTTCTTTCTTCTTCGGATATTTCGAAGTCAGTTCTTTCTTCTTCGGATATTCCGAAGTCAGTTCTTTCTTCTTCGGATATTTCGAAGTCAGTTCTTTCTTCTTCGGATATTCCGAAGTCAGTTCTTTCTTCTTCGGATATTTCGAAGTCAGTTCTTTCTTCTTCGGATATTTCGAAGTCAGTTCTTTCTTCTTCGGATATTTTGGAGTCTAGACAAGACCAGAGAGCATTTCCGGCATCTCTGGTTCACCCCCCCCCCCCTTAATTTCACCGGAAAAGAAAAAAAGAAATAACATTTATATAGAAAATATATACTTTAACTAGTACCCCCCCATCCCCCTCCCGGAAACATTAAGTACCCAGTTGGTGATCCGTGGTACAGGTGAAGTAGAGCTCTCTTGTTTCAGCAACACCTGCGTACGAGGGGATAGTGTGATCGGCGCCCTGCCGCCTTTACTTTGCCTAAAATGTGTTGGGTACCCATCAGAGCTGGTTGGACTCGGGGACTGACATAAGCTCGGGAATCGAACTCGAGACTTTCTGGTTAGCAGTCGCATACTCTACCATCCAACTACGCCGTCCTATACCTGCACAGAAGTTTTAAGTCAATCGTGTTGCTGAGTTCTGAGACCAGAGATCTATCAGCGTGTCTAGGACATAACCCCCCCCCCCCGTCAATTACACCCCTTACGGATATTCCCCCCCCCCCCCCGGAGCATTTACCTCCCTGTCAATTACCCCCGATGAATTACACCCCCTCCCCCAAGTTCAACAATCCTGACTCTGACTCCAACTCTATACCTATATATAACCTTAATCATAACCTTAGCCCTAACCCTAACCCTATCCATAGCCCTAGCCTTTGCGCAAACCTAAACCCAAACTATAGTCCTTACCCTAACTGTACCTTAAGTTATGACCGGGTGGTAATGTCTTACTGGACGGGAGGTAATTGATAGAGGGGGTAATTACTCCGGGGGTAAAGTCCGGGTGGGGGGGGGCGGTAATGGACAGGGGGGGTAATGCCCTGAACCCTCTAACAGCACTAGCGGCCCCTACAGTGAGTACCTGAGAGCAGAGGCCTAGCAGCACTAGCGGCCCCTACAGTGAGTACCTGAGAGCAGAGGCCTAGCAGCACTAGCGGCCCCTACAGTGAGTACCTGAGAGCAGAGGCCTAGCAGCACTAGCGGCCCCTACAGTGAGTACCTGAGAGCAGAGGCCTAGCAGCACTAGCGGCCCCTACAGTGAGTACCTGAGAGCAGAGGCCTAGCAGCACTAGCGGCCCCTACAGTGAGTACCTGAGAGCAGAGGCCTAGCAGCACTAGCGGCCCCTACAGTGAGTACCTGAGAGCAGAGGCCTAGCAGCACTAGCGGCCCCTACAGTGAGTACCTGAGAGCAGAGGCCTAGCAGCACTAGCGGCCCCTACAGTGAGTACCTGAGAGCAGAGGCCTAGCAGCACTAGTGGCCAAACGACAGAGAATTCGATAACAAACCAGACCCCCGTGTTCAAATTCCAGCGATGTTCTGTGTGGCATTCGTGAGCCCACCCAGCCATTACGAATACCCGGCATAATCTAACAGCGGTGGCGCCCGGACCCCACTGTGCGGAGACTGCCATCAGATGACCTTCACCTTCTGCTTTCACTTCCCCCTCCCCTTTTTCTTATACAAGAAATAAAAAAAAAAAACTTAACAAGTTTAAAAACAAAAACCCACAAAACGAAACAATTTACATCCCATGTATTCAACATTCCATATTTTATGTGAGCATAACCAAGGCCAGACTCCACTTATTACCATAGCAACACCGACTTCAAACCCTGCTCCGATAAGAGCCATGTTAACCCTCTCTCTGCCATCAATTTCTCATGTTCTCTACTCCACATTCTATCAAAGGCGCCCCGTCGAGTGCTTTATCAAGATTAATAGAACAAATCCCACCAAGCCCCGAACGAATCCCACCAATCTCCTAAACGAATCCCACAAGTCTCGTTTAATCAAGTGTAAAAGAGCTGCTTATCTACGCCAATATCTTTTCCGCGGTAGTTTTATTTCGCACCGCGTCGCGCGCGTTGCTCATTAGCGCGCATGTTGGCTTAAACAGGGGATTCCTTTTCGCACCGTAGCTTGGTGTGCATACTCTCGCCGGAGTACGTTCTTGACTAAAATAGCGCATCGTGAATGTGTGGACTCGAGTGCAAACGTTTTTAGTGCGCACTTCGTTGCACCCTGGGGTTTCGTTGTATTAGTTTAGCTCTGACTTTAAAGCTCTGTAAATGTTCACAAGTGATATACGTGTATTGGTTGTGAATAGTTTGCTCGAAAAACGAAAATATCTTAAAATGAATTATGAACATTATGACTTTCTATCCATATTCATTACCTTAAGTCTGTAAAATATTTTTCTCTTTCTAGAAATACTTCTTCTCTCAACTCAAGAGTTTATACAAAATACATATTATGTTTATGACTATAAAAACGACGTTCAATTTCTACCAGTAACACTCATTATTTTTTACTCTTAAAAAATGTGTTTTTTTATATTTAGCCTATCGTATAATAAGATTACATTAAATGTACAGTTAGGTTTAAGCTTTGGATTAAGGTTTTGTCACTTGGTTATAGAGATACCAAACCATGATTAATGTACGGTTAACCAAAGAGTGCCGATGCTAAAGGAAAAAATAAACCGGGAGTGATCTCCCCTAAACTTTCTCGAATATTCTTATATAAAATAACAGGGGATGGGAACTCGGGCTATAGACATGATTTTTAATCCATTTTAAATACTTAAAGTTTTAAAAATAGAATAAAATCTCGTAGACAAATTAATTGCACACCAAGTGAACGCCCAATAAAAAAGCGCATAATAGTGCGCAATATTATTAGTACTTTTAAAATTTACATTAGTTTTTTGAGAAATCGGAAGTAGCGTAAATTACTACTTCCAGTCAACGGAAATTACTCAAAATTTAACAGAAGGTAGAGGATTAGATCTTTTACTTACATGTGAAATTTCATTTATCTATCTGAAATAGTACTCAAGTTATAGGCTTTTAAAAAATTCAAAGTAGGAAAAGTACCACTTCCGGTTATCGGAAATCGCTCAAAAGTTGATACGGATCTACGATTTTGATAAAATACTTATATATGAAATTTCATCAACCTAGCTGTAACGGTACTCAAGTTATCGTGTTTACACACGGACAGACACACACACAGACAGACACACACACACACAGACATACGGACAAGATTGCAAAATTATGTTTTTCCGTATCAGTTAGGTGTAAAACGTCGAGATCTGTAAAAATCTCGATTTTTTTTTTTGCACGATTACAATACTTTCTCTATACTACGTATATACGAGAAAGTAAAAAACGAAAAAAAAAATCCCCTGCTGCTGGGTTTTGTTTTTGTTGTAAATATTTCCAGCCCAAGTTGTTCTTATTATTCTAGCAGACGAGACCTGGTTTGAGAACGTTTTCTTTGAGACCCCCCCCCCCCACTCTACCCCCAACTCCCCCCCCCCCCCCCCCCAATCGTGTGTACCCCATTAAAACCTTTGGCGCAGGACCCCTACAAGAAACATAAAACTGGAATCATGAGACTTCAGTCGAACAAATTTAAATTTTATGGCCCGTTTTTTTTCTAAAAGATTTTTTATTGCTTTGATCTTTTTTTTTTTTAAACTGGAAGCATACTGCACCCGAATCGTTTTTGAGTGTGTCAGGAGTGTGATTGTTGAGTGTGCTGATAGTGTGTGTCGTAGGCGTGTGACTGTGTGTGGAGAATGTGAGTGTGGTTAATAATTATGATTGTGTGGTGTGGTAGGGGTGTATTTGTGTGGCAGATGCGGGACTGTGTGTGACCTGGTTAGGATGTGATAGTGTATATGAAAGCGGTGGGTGTGGTAGGGTTTTGTGTGGTTACACTGCAACTTTCAGTGGTAGGGTTGTGTATTAAAAACTGTTTATGGGATATGAGTGTGTGTAATTGTATGGTAGTTATAACACTGTGTAATATCACTACCTCACTATCTCCTCCCCACTATCTCACTATCCTCCTCCTACCTCACTATCCCCAACTCCCCACTACCTCACTATCTTCCATCTCCCCACTACCTCACTATCCCAAACTCCTCACTACGTCACTATCCCCAACCCCCCACTACCTCACTATCCCCAACTTACCACTACCTCAATATCCCCAACTCACCACTACCTCACTATCCCCAACTCACCACTACCTCACTATCCCCAACTCACCACTACCTCACTATCCCCAACTCCCCCCTACCTCACTATCCCCAACTCTTTACTACCTCACTATCCCCAACTCACCACTACCTCACTATCCCCAACTCACCACTACCTCACTATCCCCAACTCACCACTACCTCACTATCCCCAACTCACCACTACCTCACTATCCCCAACTCACCACTACCTCACTATCCCCAACTCCACACTACCTCACTATCCCCATCTCCCCATTACCTCACTATCCCCAACTCCCCACTACCTCACTATCCCCAACTCCACACTACCTCACTATCCCCAACTCCACACTACCTCACTATCCCCAACTCCCCACTACCTCACTAACTCCCCACTACCTCACTATCTCCCCACTACCTCGCTATCCCTAGCGTCCCAATCACTCTGGTCCGATGTCGACCCTTTCCAGACTGAGTGGTTTTCATTTACTCTTCTCATTCTGAGCCTACACGTTACCCCCCTCCCTTCCTCGCACTTTCGCCTCCACCCCTCACCCCCGTCCCCCAACCACTTGTACCCGGGACGTATTGAATTAAGTCACATGGTCAGTTCACCCATACCAGAAAAAAAAACAACTCACTCCGCATCCGTCCAAGAGATTTTTTTTCTCGAGATGAGCTCTCAATCATGGTCAGTCGTCGCGCCCACCTGACCAAATCTTGCCCCCCCCCCCCCCCCACAACCAGATGGGTCTGGTCCCACCGGCATGTGGCCCAGATTAGCGTCTGGCCTTCCCCTGGCCCCGGCCATCATTAATACGTGTCAGGGTGACAGTGTGGTCGGTTGGTTGAGTGGCCAGATAAATTTAGTTTAGACCCTAGTGGGGTGGAGGGGGGGGGGGGTCGTCTGTGTAGGGTGGGCGTCCAGACATTTCTTTCTTTACTCAGTGGTAATGAAACTCTGTTGTGCGTGAGTAGGCGAACTTAACGTGAGTTGTTGTGACGTCCAAACTTGTTTCTCGGTATTTGCTACGGAATGAAAGGATTAAAACTTCTCTTACAGATAATTCAGTGATTAGGCCAATATATAATACTGTTTTTTTAGAGAGTTTAGTGATTGTTAGTTTATTCTATTGATTCTAACAATATTTTTAGTGTTTCAAAGCAGTGTTATCGTAACTTACTTAAATTGATATATCGCGGATTTTTTAAGCTGATTCCCTCTGTTTTCAGAGAACTTTAAACCATGTCTTATAGCGCATTTAAAATTAATTGTTAGGTCTTTAAACCAATTAGCCGAGATTATCTAATACTTAAGAAAAAAATGTTTTTTAATGACAGAGATGATACAAAAACAATAAAAAGTGAACGGAATTCGCTTTTAAAGCTACACATCATTCGTTGCGTTGGTTTAGAGAAACATAAAGATGACGTACACTACTTAATAATAATAATAAAATAACCTGTCCCTAATAGGCTGCTAACCCGAAAGTCTCGAGTTCGAATCCGGGTCCAAGTCAGTCCAACTCACGTTATGGAAAGTGAAAAAAACACAAAGTGATGACCACACCTTCCCTTCGTATCCAATGTCAAGTTATTAAGTTGTCACTACTTTCTTTTCAGTATTTCTTTCCCATAAATATAACTAGTTACATGACATTATAAATAATGGGTTTGGGCCGCTAACCAAAAATCTCCCGAGTCATCTGTCACGTACTATTTACTCAAGCCCACCCCAAAAGACACCACCCCTAACATATCGCCCTATAAAACATAACCTCAAACTGCCCACCCGGTGTAACACCACACCTCATTACACCGCCCTAGATAGAATAACCCCAAACTTCCCGCCAAATGGTCATTTCCTCCCGGAAATTTTAGTCCGCCTTCCGGAAATTTCAAGTGTCCCCGGAGAAAAAGTCTGGAAAAAACACTGCCTCTAACATACCGCCCTATATAACATAACCTCAAACTGTCCACCCCATGTAACACAACCCCAACACACCTCCTAATATAACATAATCTCAATATCCCACCCCATGTAACAGCACCCCTAACACACCTCCATATATAACATAATCTCAATATCCCACCCCATGTAACAGCACCCCTAACACACCTCCATATATAACATAATCTCAATATCCCACCCCATGTAACAGCACCCCTAACACATCTCCATATATAAAATAACCTCACATATCCCACCCCATGTAACACCACCCCTAACACACCTCCATACATAACATAATCTCACATATCCCACCCCATGTAACACCACCCCTAACACACCTCCATATATAACATAACCTCACATATCCCACCCCATGAAACACCACCCCTAACACACCTCCATATATAACATAATCTCACATATCCCACCCCATAAAACACCACCCCTAACACACCTCCATATATAACATAATCTCACATATCCCACCCCATAAAACACCACCCCTAACACACCTCCATATATAACATAATCTCACATATCCCACCCCATAAAACACCACCCCTAACACACCTCCATATATAACATAATCTCACATATCCCACCCCATGAAACACCACCCCCTCATGACACAGCCCTAAATAACATAACCTCAAACTGCCCACCCCCAATAGACACCACCCCCCATCACACATCCCTATATAGCATAACCTCAACCTGCCCACCCCATGCTCTTTTCCCATCTCTTACGTCACCGCATGCACCTATCCATTAACAAATCCCCTGGGAAATCTCGCAACGCACAATGACCCCATTTAGTCTAATGCGGTCACCAAATGACGTCGTGACCTACATATTTTTTAGCACTATAAAACCTGCCTTCAGTGACCAATTTTTACAACACATTTCTCTTGTCGTTTCTATCGCTCGGTTTTCTACATTTTCACCAGTTAGTAATGTAGATCTAGATCTATTTCTTTAATATACGTACATTTTGTAGTTAAAAATAATCTCTGTACTTTTTTCAACGAAGTACTCTCCCCTTGGTTTACTCCGTTAAGTAGTTCATCTTTAACGAAGGTGGGCGTGGAAGAGTTATCGGTCTTAGTTATTGGAGAAGTTTGTTTACAGTTTATAGCAGGAAGAAAGAAAAACTAATCTCAGTGTTGTGGAGAGGTTTAGCATCGACACGGTTATTGGACAGGGTGATTTGGGATTGGGATTGTTGGATTGTGATTTTGAATGTGATTGTTGGACGATGATTGTGATTCGAATTCCAGGATTGTGATTGTGATTCGGATTGTTGGATTGTGATTTGAATGATTTCACGGTCATTGCGATTGTAAAACAGTAATTGTTATTGTTAGAAGGTGATTGCGATTGATTGCTTGTGATTTTGATTGGTGTACGGGTGACTGCGGTTTGAACTGTTGGGTGGTGATTGCGATTATAGTGATTGAATGCTAAACAGAATGTTCTTATGGATTTTTAAAAGTAAGTAAGCCTTACATTTGTTAGAAGATTTAATGATAACAGTTCGATTTAACTTGTTGAATTTAATGGGACAGTTTATCCTGTTGACGCAGGTTGGGTAGTTTACCTTTAAACTGAAGCAGGTTAGTCAGTTTAACTTGGAGCGGGCTGGGAATTAACGTTAACCTGTTGGAGTGAATTAAGTAGTTTAGCGTTAACCCGTTGAAGCGGGTTAGACTGGTACACCAATTCGGATTCAGATAACAATACAGGAACAAATAGCCAAACAGTAACGGCAACCTATCGACTAGGAACGTAATTATGTTATACTGTAATTTACTTCTTCGTTCTCAATTAACAATATTGAAGGGAATTCCTTCAATACAATTTAGTATTACGTGTCAACATGGTATGCGCTATATAGGCCGTTGACTTCGACGTAGCCTGCTTTTATTTTTTGGGTTTTACATCCATAGCTTTTATCCATCCAAGAACTACAACCGTGCAGCAGTTGTTTCATTGTAAAGCTTTCTCTCTTAGATAAAGACATTCATCTGCCCGAGGTCCGAACACAAATGTATTGATACATACTTCTCATGTCATCGTCGTTAATTAGGAAACCAATACTTCAGTGTTATAATTCTTTAAGGAACACCTCCCTGTATTCATCCTAATATATAATTCCCGCAATGCCGTAATTGATAAAGACAAACCTCCCTCAGTGCCGTTATTTATTGGGACACATGTTCCTAATTGTTTTTGTTAAATAAATCACAGCTCCCTTATTGTCATAATTTATGACAACTACCTGAATGTCATATGTCATCAAAAGACA